ACCCCTGCCGTATCTCAGTAGCCCTCTGAATGCTGGCTACCCCAGATGTGTCAGCCTCCGAGCTGAAGACTGTACCCCAGCATCACTGCCGGGGTTCCACACGGGTCTGAGACTCAGCACACCTGGCTGTGGGGCGGGTGGGCCTGGATCCCACCTTCTGAGCCAGGGGTTCCTCAAGCTGGGTTCCATTTTCAGTTCTTCTACTTGGAATGTCCTGGTCTCTTGAGTCTGTGGCAGGCATCTTTCATACACTCTAGAAATTTCTGAGTTACTGTCTCTTCAAACGTTGCCCTTACTCCGTTTTTTCTCTTCTTCTGGAACCAATTTGAGAGGCGTTTCAGAGAATCGGTGGGCTCAGCTTACTAAGGACATGCAAGTTTCCTACTGAGACCAACTCACAAGTCCCTAAGAAAACACAGAATGGCCCAGGTGCTGTGGCTCACACCTGTAATCCCAGCACTTTGGGAGGCCAAGGCAGGCAGATCACGAGGTCAAGAGATCGAGACCACCCTGGCCAACATGGTGAAACCCAGTCTCTACTAAAAATGCAAAAATTAGTTGGGTGTGGTGGCACGTGCCTGTAGTCCCAGCTACTCAGGAAGCTGAGGCAGGAGAATCGCTTGAACCGGGGAGGCAGATGTTGCAGTGAGCCAAGATCATGTCACTGCACTTCAGCCTGGTGACAGAGTGAGACTCCGTCTCAAAAAAGAAAGAAAACACAGAATGACTTTGCTTAGCAAAGACTCAGCCAAAGGGGGCCCTAGGGGATGAGCTGGCTGACCAGCCGCAGGGTTCAAGAGAAAGAGTGAGCCAGGCATCTGGCTGTGGGCATCTGTGGCAATAAGACTGATCCACCCCTGCCAGCCTGGTCAGGAGTCTGGCCCACCAAGGACACCACACAACCCTGCCATACAGGTCTGGACTGCCCTTGGAATGCAGCAGGGCCTGGACAACCCTCTCACTCACCTCATCCCCAAAACCAGCCCGCACTAACAGAAAACATAGTCAGCTCTCCAGAAAAATTGCCTCGGCTCATCCAACCTTAAACGCAAAGCACTCAAGGAAAAAAACACTGGATGCTAGAATCCTAGAACCTTCCAGCAGGAAAGAAAACCCTCTCAGACAACATACTGGTTCCCGTTCCCAGAGTTGCATGTGCTAAGTGTCTGTTGTGCCTTTGTAACAGACACAGAAGTTGGAGGATGAAGGCATATTTCGGGAAAAGGTTTGGGTTGTTTTTCTTGAGCTCAGGTGAACATGGCAGGTTTATTTTCAAATCCCCCATACCCACGAATTCTCTGGGTGGCCATGCTGCAGAGTGGACCCATGGACTGAGTAGAAAGAGGCTCAGAAGCAGCTCTCAAACTAGGGTGGAAGGCCACGCTCGTTCGTTGGGGTTCCTAATGGTGGGAAGGGTGGTCTGACCTGGAATGTAAATTAACACACTGCTTCCTTCACCAAGAAAGCGCTCCCCAAGTCATGCCAGCCAATGTCAGGGGCACATGGCACTGAGTCACTCACACTGTGGGGTGGGCTCTTTAGGACTCCCCCCACCCCACAGAGCAGGCTCTTCTCCTCACACGCCCTCCCCAAGCTCCATGACAGCCGCCACTTCCCCATCCACTGAGGCAGGACGGTTCATATCAGAACAACCACAAATAGAAAGTCCTTTTGACATAGAGTTGTTCTTATTATGCCACTATTTTGACTTTTAAATTTTGGGATTGATGAGACTCGTCATGGATAGCCTAAAAATGATTTATAGTTTTTGTTCTCCTCTTGAAAATACTTCTCAGTAAAGCTTAACAGCTTGAAATAAGTCAGAATCTGGCACGTACAGATCTATGCATAAAGATAATATATTCTTTTGCTATATTGATTGATGCGATTATTTCCCATGACCTGTCCTCCCAGAGAGCACCTAAGGATTTCCACCCTCGCTGACCCAGACAAACGCAGATCATGTGAAGGTTGTTCAGGCTTCTGCTTTTCTAGTATTGAAAGGAAACAAGCACTTGAGTAGCAAGATCCAGAATCCTCTGAATATCGAAAGATAACCTTGCCTTTCCTGCAAAGAGGGGACAGACTAGTTCAGGGAAGGAGGGGACCATGGTGCCCCTACTCCCCAGTGGGGATGAGGCGAGGGGCATGGGAGATGACCACAGAGCCCAGGCAGATGAGACAGAAAGCTGGCCTCACTCCAGGTGGGGCTGGGGAGCATCCAGCTTTCAGACGTCCTCAGCCCTGAGTGCAGGATGAGGGCTGACAACGTGGCATAGACAGGTGGGCTGGGCAAGCCTCAGCCAAGCTTCAGGCAAGGAAAGAGCAGGGAGAGACAGGGCAGGGAAGGACAGAGCAGCCCCCAAAGACCAGGACAGGTAAACACAACATGTCTGTGGATGCTGCCTAAGTGACAGGCAAGCTCAGGAGGGACAACACACATGTGTGTGCACACACCACATGCACACACCAAATGCATACACCACTCACATGAGTATTGCACACACCACATGCACACACCCAATATGCACACTCACATGATCCTGTGCACGCACCCAGTCCACACACTCACATGAGCATTGAACACCTGTACACACTCTACACATGGATGAACACACCCTCATACGTATGCATACCACAGATGTGCAGTCACACAGTCACATGCACACACTGGCACTTACCCTCACACATGCACCACACACAATGACATGCCCCATGCTTTCATATGCACACATGCATACATGTTCACACACACATACACACACTCTCACACGCACACCCCACCCCTGAACACAGAGGTCCCATGAGCAGATAAAAGGCCCACCCACATAGGCTGATGTCACAACAAAACCTCACAAGATACAGACAAGGGCACCCCTTTCTCCACCCCGCTGAATGATTCCATGCCCCATGTGTGAATGAGGAGCCCGGCCCCAGCAAACAGTGAGTGAGGCCTGGCCTACAGGAAGCTGTGATGGGAGCTGCTCTTGGCCCCACCCTGAGGATCAGGAGACTCTTCACTGACGCCCAGGCCTCCACTGCCCACCTGGTCTCTTTCCCCAGCTCAGTTTTCCTTGTTTCGCTTTTCCCAGACACTTTCCTCCCTCCTCAGACACCCTTCCTGCCTCCTCCATCCACCTGCCTCAACCCCATGCAGACTCCCAACCTCTCATCCCATGGTCCCCCCAGCTGGGAAGACAGGGGGTCCTCTATGACCCTAGGCCATGAAACAGCAGGGTGGGAGGTGGATCTGCTCCTTGTCACCCTGCCCATAGCCATAGAGAAGGCCACACAGTGCAGAGGCTTCAACAGTGGGGGGAGTTGCAAGGCAAGACCACAGACAAACACCCACACATCAGTGTGAGGCTGGGGTTCCCCATGGTGGGGATGGGGATGCTGTAAACTGAGGTGACCGGGGACATCTGGTGGCCATGTCCAGGGAGCAGCTGTGCTGCAGAGCCATTGGCCTGGGTGGGCACACCATCCAGGCTGCCTCCTCTCTCCCCACAGCCCTGACCTGTTCAGACCCAGGGGGACGGGAAGCTGTGTGCTGGGGAAGGGGGTCCTTTCATGAGCACCTTGAAAGCCAGGAAGGAGAGCTGCAGGGTGGGACAGAGGGCTCTGAGGGGGCAAAGGAGCGCAGCACCAGGGTGAGTGGATGGCCATGGAGCTCCCTGGGCTCTGTCCTCCCTGCCACACCCTCTCAGACCCCCAGGGATTTAGGGCAGGAGGTTCCCAAGGCAGACTGAGGCCAGAAACCCACACCAGCTCTCAGCAGTCTCTGTGTCAAGGGGTCAACCCAAAGCCAGGGCTGAGCTGGAAGGTGTGGCAGACTGTGGGCCAGGCCTGGGGGCGATGGAGAGCTGGCTCCCCCCACACCACTCTTTTCTCACAGCCTGACAGATGGCAAATGTGAGGCTGGGAGAAGCTATGTGGCAAAGTGGACCCCAAGCCATGCAGGTGACGGAGTGGTTTGAATGCCTCACCCATGCACCCACTCTGGCATTTTAGGGCAAGGCGGCAGGGCAGCTTCCACGCCTGCATGGGACTTCATCTGATGCAAAGCTGGAGCCCAAACTTGCCACGAGACCCCCACAGGAGAGGACATCATGTCAGCCGGGCGGTGTGGTCCCCGTGAGAAGTCCATCTGAAGTCCAGGGAGTGTGCATGGATAAGGAAGGGGTGCCTCCAGAGCCTTCCATCTCCAACAGTACAACAAAGGCCGCTGCACCCCGTCCGCTCAGAGGCAAAGGGCACTCATCCGAGTCTCCCAGATGGCCTGGGTCCCACCCTTCTCTGCTTGGTCCCTGGGGGCACTGAGCTATGAATCAGGAGCCTGGATGTGCCAGCTTCCTTCCCTACCCCTGCCCACAATTCACACTCCAGCCTGAGCCCCCAGATGCAACCTGGCCGCAGACCCCTGACATCCTGGCCTGGCAGTTACCATAGGAGAGGCCCCTTTGGGCTAATTTAAAGAAAACTGTCCTTGGCATTTAGTGCCAAAATACACCAAAGCATAACTATAAAATTGTTATGGATTTTGGGACACCTGGACATTCCATTGTCATAGAAGTGTGTCCTTGCAGATATCCGTAGGCTGATTCCTTGGCTTTGCACATTTTATGACCATGGGTCATGACTGGCAAGGAATGTACCTCATTAGTCTCAAGATGGAGCTGAGCTTCAAATGGCATTACCCTGCCCCTCCCAGGCTCCTGTTTTTCTAACAGCAGAAGCAGGCAGGGAATAAAGGGACTCACTGGAGCAAGATGAATGCAATCCATTTTTATCAGCCATATTTGCGATTTGGGCATTTTTGGCTTCTCAGCAAATCAAGTAACACCTCAATCTTCAGGGCCAGCTGAGACACCTCAGCTTCTTGAGGACACAGGCTCCCTACCAACACCCCCATTGCAACAGGCTCCCTACCAACACCCCCACTGCTCAGGTCTCTGCTCTTTGCAGGAAATGTACAAGGCTGCACCTCAGCACAGGGATCATTCAGTCATTCAGCAAATTTTAATGAGCACCTACTCAGAGCCAGGCCCTATCCCAGGCACTGGGGTTATCCCAGGCAACAGATAGAGTTCTCTGCCTCCCCAGAAATGGCTAATGGACATGAAAGTGTCTTTAAGTGAAATACGTAAGTAAAGATAAACAGCATATCAGGTGCTGTGAAGTGCTCCAGAGAGAAAACAGTGAGATTGGAGGATGGAGCCTGGGAGTAGGGGGCAGATGCTGTAATAAGTGGGATACTCAGGGAAGGCCTCAATGATGTGAAATTGAGCAGAGACCTGAATCGTTCAGGGAGAAAGCCACGTGTCAACCGAGAAGAAGCACAGGACCAGACTGCAAAGCAGTAGGACAAGGCACGTTTGGGGGTCTCAGGAATTGGCAATCAGGAGACACAGATTCAGCTAGAAACCAAACTGTGCTCTCGGGAGAGGAAGGGGAGTAGGGGTTTTGAAAAGGATGCTGAGGGTGGTTACACAAGTTGTTTTGAAAGAATTGCCATTGGCGCAAGCAGCTGGCATAGTACATGAGTCCACATTTCATTGGTTGTCGCTGTTCAGGAGTCACAGCGCCGGCAAATTCTCCAGGATGTTACGGTTGTGTCCGTGGGACCCAATGCGAAGGTTCAAGCAAGCTCTTGTTGGCAGGGTTGCGGCCGTGCAGGTAGTCCTTCGAAGGATGGCTTCTCAACCACATTTTAGAGGTCTGAACCAGAGTAACACCATTCTATCTCATTCCACACCAGATAACTGGAGTAAGAGAGAAGAGCCTGTGCAAAGGCCCTGGGGTTGGGACAGGCCCTGCCTGCTCAAGGAACAAAAAGAAGGCCGGGTGTGCCTGGGGTGAAGGGAGCCTGGGAGGGCAGGTGAGGTCGGGGAGAGAACACAGGGCCAGATCGTGGCTTTTATTTTTAATGAGTTGGGCACCTGATGAAGGGCAACCCAGAAGAAGCACGAGGCGGGAAGGCCATGAGGTGGCCAGGGAGGTCGTCTGCTGTGGCTGGACTCTGGATACGTTTTAAAGGTGGAATCAGCTGCCTTTACTGGAAAATGTGGCATTTGAAAGAGAGAGAGAAAGAGAGGCATTATGACTCCACAGTCTGTGACCAGAGCAACTGTAAGTATCGGCGCCACCTCCCCTGCGCTGAACTAGGTTGCCCCACATTGCAGCAGCCAGGATGATCTGGGTCTGGGACATGACTGCTCAGTGCAGAAGCAAGGAGGCTGATGGACAAGGGAACCGCAGCTGAGAGGTCAGGCCCGCAGAAAGGGACATAGCGGCTGTTTTATGGCCTGGAAGGGAAGTCCTTGCAAAGGTGTGTGGTTTTATTGTCAGAAACACACACAGAGGGTGTCTCTTACTTGCCATCATTTTATAATTTTTCCTGCAGCATTCGAAGGAACGTCTGTTGGTGGTGGTTTTTCAGACATGAGCCACCACACCCGGGCTGTTGTTTGTTGATGAATTAAATAAAATTTTGACAGCTACTCACCAGGTATTCCAAGGAGAATTTTGTTTGTAACCACCAGGGATTCCACGGTGGAAGGCAGCCCTGGTTTCTGGCTGGGGTGACAGACCCCAGAGAGAGGGACTGGGCTTCCTGGCCCAAAGGAGCTGGTCACTGGGTTTGTAAAGGAATCTCATGAGCTGGTGGGAGGTGGGCCTGGACCCGTTCACTCCTGCAAGAATGATCACTGAAAAATAAACTACGCGTCAATTGCCAACCCTGGAATCTGTTTCCTGCAGGACCCTTCTCAGCGGTTTTCCACGGCAGGGGCTGTTGGTGGAAGTATCTGTGTCCTGCTTTCCTTTGCAGGTCTGTGTTTCTAGAAGTGTGAAATCGTTTCCTTTCCAGAGAGACAGTGGTGTGTTGGCAACAGTGAATCTGTGCCCATAGCCATTAGCCAGGCACAGGCACTGCCCAGAAGATTCTATTCAAAGGACAGGGCCACTGCCTGCAGAGATCAATAAGCCTCTCAACTTTAAAGGCATATCTATTTTTATTGCTTAATAGGTCCTAGTAGGTGCTTATATAATAACTCTAAAAAGGAAAAAAAAAAAAGTCTTCCTAAAGCTTTAAATTTAAATATGCCAACTCTTTGCGAAGAATTCTCAGTGCTGCCGATGGGAAAGTCTCCATCTCAGGCAGGGGCAAATGGAATTGGACCACCGCCAACCACCCGTGAATTTAGATGGCGTTGCTAAGCTACAGGATAAGAAGCCAGGAAACGCAATTTCATGCAGTTAGAAGTTCAAAGGAAAGCTCTCTAAGAAGCCTAAGATACTAAGACCTTTAAACAAGATTTGGAGAATGTTAGTGTCATTCCAAAAACACAGGAGAATTATACAAGGATTACCAAAATAATAATAATTTGTTTCATATTTCACATCATAGTTCATGCGGTTTGATAATTTTGATATAAAAATATTTATCTTTTCCATTAGCATAACGCAATGTATTAATAGAATATAATTCAAAGCAAGCTTGTGTTTCTTTTCTCTTAATAAATCTAATTAATTTGAACTGCTTACATCTCCTATTCTGATTTTATCAGTCACTAGCATTTTTGAAATGTTTAGGGCTACGAGAAAGTCATCACATGTTCAATTGGACCGAAATTATCTTCACTAATGTCTTTATTTTGTTTTTGTTGGTTCTTATCGGTGTCACACTGTACTGGGGACCCACAGCCACTTTTCTGACAGAGTCGTGGTATCAGCAGCCAGCATGTGGCCTTCCCGGTCAGATTCAGTATAATTTCCAGTACTCTTAGTTGGCTTTAAGTCCTTGAATAGTCCTTGGAAGACCCTTATCTATCTGCTAAATTTTCAAAGAAATTACAACTTCAAGGACCTAGAAATAGAAATTCCATCTGACCCAGCAATCCCATTACTGGGTATATAACCAAAGGATTATAAAGCATTCTATTATAAAGACCCATGTACATGTATGTTCATTGCGGCACTGTTTACAATAGCAAAGACCTGGAACCAACCCAAATGCCCATCAATGATAGACTGGACAGGGAAAATGTGGCACATATACATCATGGAATACTATGCAGCCATAAACAATGATGAGTTCATGTTGGAAACCATCATTCTCAGCCAACTGACACAAGAACAGAAAATCAAACACAGCATGTTCTCACTCATAGGTGGGTGTTGAACAATGAGAACACATGGACGCAGGGAAGGAAGCATCACACACTGGGGTCTGTTGGTGGGGAGTAGGGGAGGGACAGCAGGAGGTAAGGAGGTTGGGGAGAGATAGCATGGGGAGAAATGCCAGATATAGGTGACGGGGGAATGGACGCAGCAAACCACCTTGCCATATATGTACCTATGCAACGATCCTGCATGATCTGCACATGTACCCCAGAACCTACAGTACCATTAAAAAAAGAAAGAAATTACAAGTTCATAGAAACAGAGAAGGGAAAAAAATGCCAGGAACCCAGTTATTTCTTTTTCTCTGATGTCTGAGCTCCGAGTGACCCACATTCAGTTGGTGATGAGGAAGAACAAGGAACAGAGAGAGTGTCTGCGAACCCAGTGGTGAATCCCAGCGACCTGCTGACTGAATGCAGCTGGGAGGGTGAGCAAGTGAGCCAGGAACAGACCCATGGACATCTGCAGATGGTGCTGGCTGGTAGGGCTGGGGAAGAGAGAGCTGGGGAAGCTTCAGGAGGAGCAGTTGGAAGCCCCATAAGACAGATGCTCACGACAAAAGCAGCCTGACGCAAACATGTGCCTGCCAGGGTGCTAGCAGACTAGAGGCACGCACAACTGGGGGCAGTGGGAGGAGGCTCCACAAAGGCCAATGTGTGGCAACGTATAGGGGAGCCCTAGGAAGCAACTGCCAGGCAGAGGATGGGGGTAGGGAGTGGCTGCTGGATCCAGAGTGAGAGGCCTGTCTGCAGAGACAGGACCTCAGGAGGCAGATGAGGGAGAGGACACAATGATTCCCCACTCCCTCCCGTTTCCCACACCCCCACTCACAGACTGCAGCAAGAAGCTGGGGGCACCAGATGCTGCCGATGCCTCCATGCAGGACATCTAAAGAAGCCTCCCAGGCCGCCCTGGTGATTCTAACACAAATCTAGGCACTGTTGCTTCGAGGGGCTTTGTGGGTGTAATTAAGCCACTAATCTGCTGATCTTAAAATAGAAAGATAATCCTGGATTATCCAGATGGGCCCAATAGAAACCAGAAAAAAAAAGAGAGAGAGAGAGAGAAAAGAGAGGCAGGAGAGACACCAAGTGTAGGGAGAGTTTGAGGTACCCTGGCTGGTTCCAGGGCACAGCGTCACTCGCAAGGGCTAGAGACCAGCATCCAGGGCAAAGAGCAGCCCTGCTGCGGCTCAGAGGACACTGGCCTCTGGCCAGCGCCCCCAAGGAGCTGCATCGTGCCAGGAACCCGAGTGAGTCTCGAGGAGGATTCTTCTGAGAGCCTCCAGGGAGAAACATGGCCCAGCCTTCACCTCTGCTTCGGGTGGGTGAGACCCAGAGCAGAGGAACCCCTGAGCCACGCTGTGCCAGGCTTCTGACCCACAGGAACTGTGAGATAATAAATCTGTGTTGTTTTAAGCCACCAAGTGTTCAGTAATTGGTTATGACAATAATGGAACGCTAATACAGGCCCCCCCAGAAATGTGAGCTGGATCAAAGAGAAACAGCAGGGTTGCATAGAAGCGGCCTCAATGCCTGAATCCACGCCAAGACAAGGCTCGTCCTGTGGGTGCTGAGAAGGGAAGACAGGCAGGGGACAGTGGCTAACACCTGTAATCCCAGAACTTTAGGGGGCTGAGGCAGGAGGATCACTTAAGTCAAGAAGTTTGAGATCAGCCTGGGTAACATGGAGAGACCCTGTCCCTACAAAAAAAAAAAATTTTTTTTTTAATTAGCTGGAAGTGGTGGTGCTTGTCTGTAGTCTCAGCTACTCAGGAGGCTGAGGAGGGAGGCTGGCTGGAGTCTGGGAGTTCAAGGGTGCAATGAGCTATGACCCTACCACTGCACTCCAGCCTGGGCGACAGAGTGAGGTCCTGTCTCAAAACCAATCCTCACATTAAATCCACAACCCTCCAGTTAGTGAGAAGAATAATTCGTCTCCAAGTGAATCTACGAGCACTTGTCAAATTTTGCTGGAACTCATTCATAAGAGAACCAACATAAAGACAAGAAAAGACTAAGGAGCATTTGAAAAACAAAAGTTTATAGTCAGAAATGACAGAACAGTCTTGCCAAGTTAAAAACAAGATACTACAGGATGGATAAAGATGCCGTGTTTATTAACCACCAGTCTGGACAATTCACCACAGGATAATAAAGATGATGAAACCTGTGGAGCTATCTTCTCTTTTCTATTTTGCTTCTCCAAAAAGCAAAACTCTAACACAGCTATCATTTCCTCAGGGATCCTTTGACCTCACAGGCTTAGTGACTTCTGGGCCTTCATTCATCAGTTACCTCCCTTCCACAAGAGGGGCTGAAAGAAAACGCTGTGGCATGGAGGACTCCCAAAATCTTTGTTTCAAAGTTTGGAATAAACTGTCGTTCTTACCTTATGTCTATGTCAAGCAAGCCTACTTCGTAAGAAGTGGTGTTGTGATTACGGGCGTGGGGAGACGTTCCCATTCTCGGCATCAGGGGTACCACGAGGGTGGGGACAGAGCGCAAAACCACCTTCCAAGGGACCCCACGCCGATGAGAGTATCATCCAACTTCCCCTCCCATAATCAGACCCATGTTCATGGACATAAAACCTCTTTCCAGAATTTGTCCCACTAGCCCCCCACCTTTTTTCCTGTTCCTTTCCACTGTGCATTCTGTTTGGTCTCCTAGAGACCAAATTCCTCAGTTTTTGGTGCATATCTTAGCCTACCCCTAACCTCATCCAGAAACTGAACCACTTCCTCTGGCTCAGCCCAGCTCTCCCCAGCAGCGCAATCCCCCACTGGAGGGAAGAGGCAGAAGCCAGGCAGGGAGCCCTGAATCTCAGTGCAGCCGGGCGGGCAGGACTGGCCATGGGAGGGGCCAGCAAACCAACTGGCTGGACAGTCCCCCAGTGTGGACGGGTGCTGCTCTCCTGCTGGGCACAAGGAGAGTGTCCAGTGAGAGCTGGCCAGGCCCTGTCAGGGCAGTGGGCTCAAGGCAAGCTGGCCCCAGAGGGTAGGAGTTTTGGTCCCAGCTCTGCCACCAGCTCACCATGGGACTTGGGAAAATGCTATTATGTTGGTGCAAACATACTTGCTGGTTTTGCCATTGAATGTAATGTCAAAACCACAATTACTTTTGCACCAACCTAAACACATTGCTCTCTGGGCCTTGGCCTCCCCATCTCTGCCACAGGAGGAGGGTGCACCCATTTCTGCTGTGGTTTTCTAGGATGCCAACAGCTCCTCCTTTGCGCCCTCCGCAGGGTAACCCTCACTGAAAAGCAGTTGAACACTCCCTCCTGGGGTTTGGGTGTGAGCCCAGATCCCCACTCTCTAAGTCTGGGAGAGCTTGCTGGTGTGGCTTAGAGGCTCCCGGTGTCACTCATGACAAGCCAGGTGCGAAGGTGTGTGCTGGGCCCTCCGTGGGCTGTGAGATGGTGGCCAGATCCCCGCGGGGCAGAGAGAAGCTGAGTTTCCATCGCACCCACACACCCACCTCCCCAAATGACCAGACTTTTTGGCTTCCAGGAACTCTATGGCTCAGCCCCTTTAAAACTGCCAGGAAAGAGCCCTCCTGCACAGCTCCCTGGCACCAAGCACTTCCCACCAAGGAGACGAGGAATGCAGTCATTTGGGTGGCTGGTGTGTGGGCGCAATGGAAACTCAGCCTCTCTCTGCCCCACTGCCCTGCATCCCCTCCAGCCGGATCCCTGCCTCACCCTCAGAGGCCCACTGAGGCAGGCCCTCACTTTTCCAGTCACTCTCAGATAACAAAAGTCACACTGGTCCTAAACAGTCCCCAGTCTTGAACATGGCTGGTCCATCAAAATAACCAAAACACGCCCTGCATGGTGTTGTGTGGGCACCACCTGCAGTGGGAAGTCTGGTGCTCGGCTTCCTTCTTGCTTCCTGGAGCTGCCAGCTTGTACAGGCTGCAGGCAGCGGGCATGCAGGTGGAAGGCGTGGGACAGTGAGGCAAGTGAGGATGATCCCCAGGTCCTCCACCAGCACAGCATCCTCAAACAGCAGGAGGAACTCAACAGGCTCTCCGTGAGTGTGAGAGAGCAAGGAGCAGCATGGGCTCCAACCCTCTCTCTGCTATGCGTGCAGTCCCTCACCTCCCTTGGCAAAACCAACAGGGACACATTTCCATTCCCGTGTCATGTGCTATAGGATAGTGCTGTGGACTGAAGAGTGTCCCCCGAAATTCTGGCATTGAAGCCCTAGCCCCCAGGGTGATTGTATTGGAGACAGCTTTCAGGAGCTAAGTAAGGTTAAATTATGAGGTCATCAGGGCAGGGTGCTAATCTGATAGAATGAGTGCCCTTATCAGAAGAGAAAGAAGGAGATATCTCTGTCTCTCTCTCTCTCTCTCTCTCTCTCTCTCTCTCTCTCTCTCTCTCTCTCTCTCTCATTTTTCCCCACTCCCCATCTCTCTCTCTCCCTCCCATCCTCTCTCCTCTGTCTTCCACTCCCTCCCCTTCTTTCTGTCTCTCCCTCTTCCCTCTCCCCTCATGTGAAGACACAGGGAGAAGGCAGCCTAAGCTAACACAGATGGCAAACAAAGCATGTGGAGTGTGCCTGGGGTGGCCCTGCCAGCAGATGTGCATCAGCCATCAAGGAGGTGGTTTTCGAAGTGAAATTACATCCCCTACTCCCAGGCAGGCTCCAGCAATAGCACTGGGAGCGACACACACAGTGCTCCCTGCGTGCTGACACCACCCTGTCCAGCCTCCCAAAAGCTCCTGATGTGGCTGAGGGAGCCTGGCCCCCACCTCCTGGGAAGCCAGAAAAATAGAAGTGAGCCCGAGCTGGTGCTGGAGCAGGTGTTTGGACCGCTCTCTGAGCCACCTCCTGGTCTGTGAGTACTGTCACAGGCATCATCATCCACACTCAAATCGGCAGCTTTCAGCAACAAATCGTCAAGCTACTTCTGCAACCCACATGCTGCGTGAATGCTGGGGAGCCAAGGATGTAGGAAGCAGACACATCCCCGGCCCTCCTGGGCTCAGTCCACTATAGAAGATAAGACCCCATCAAACCATCACACGAGTACATGGAAACCTGCAATTGTATAAACCACAAATTCATACCAACCTTTGCAAGATTCCAACGGGGATTTGTCAAGAATTTGAACAGTCTTTTTCTGTAGTTTATATGGGGCAAGAAAGATCTGCAGATTGCTCAGCACACTTTTGAAAAGGAAGAGCAGGGAGGACTCATTCCCCCAGGCACTCAACCACTTCAACTCCTTAGTGAGAGCAGCTTCTCCAGGGTTCAGAACAGACAAGGAGAAGACCCAGGTGGCTGGGGAGCTTGGAGTGAGGCCGAGAGACGCTGTGAGCAGAGGAGAGAGGACAGCTCCACAGGTGGCAATGGGGAAATCACTCCTGAGATAAGCAAAGCCTGACTCTACACACGACACCACTTAAAGAGGTGGATGCCTTAAGAATTCAAGACCAAACAGGAGAAGTACAATTATAAAAATGAGAAAGAAAATAAAATCTCAGCACCCCAAACTCACTACGCCAAAAAGAGAGTTGAGCTTGGGGTCTAAGTCACACAACACAGACTTCCTTTTGTTCCCAAACAGATCGCTGTAATTTCACAACCCTGTGTCATAGCCTCATTCATAAGCCAGGTTCCCACAAGGATGGAAGGCCACATATCTCCCCAGGTGGCCTCCCTCACAAATGGCCCGCATGTAAATTCCTTGTGAGCCCCTCACTCTTTCGGGATATATACCCCCTCCCTATAAAATAGCCCTAAAGCTGAATTCTGAAATCTCACCCTGACAATGTCAGTTACCAGCTTAACTTCACAGGTACAGGAAAAAGACCAGAAATCATCCCTCCACCTACCCTGAGAGGAAGACATTATTGACTTTCTTCTCTACTCCCTCCTTTCATGTATGAAATGTAGATTTGCTGAGCGCTAATGAGAGCCTCACAAGAAATAACCATTTGTCTCACTTCTACCTTCCCTCCCCCTTTTCCTCCTGCTTCTCTTTCCTCTAGAAATACTCCCAAACTCTCTTTGGAAAGCAAAGGGCACAGATGCTCCTGTAATCTGTGTTTTTCTTGGGCGCATACCTACACATTGGCTAAATGAATTTCTATCAGTTGAGACACCTACC